TCCCCCCCGACCCCCCCCCCCCCCCCCCCCCCCCCCCCCCAGTCTCCCAGGTTACAGTATCTTCTGATATTGTTTGCATCAAAGGGAAAACTGTTTATTTTAAAACCATATTTTTGGTACAAATGGCATGAAAAAATTTCAGGGAGAATTCAAATGTCGTATAAGGGATCTATAGCCTATGCTTGCTGTTGAATGTATTATTAGAAATTGTTTGTTATCTGTAGTTAATTGTTTATTTCACAGACACGCTGATTAGCAATTAGCCAAGTTATTAATTATCAGTAGCCAAACTTATAGAGAATTTAGCACACCATAACACTTATATAATTTGACTGAGTGGTCGAATCTAGTATCCACGTCTAAACTGATGTTTTATCTGTATATCGTGTTCCAAGTGGTATTATGATGATCTCATAATGACAATTGCATTATCAATTTGGTCTTATAATATGTTCTATTCTTATGTTTTCTTATACGTATTTCCTGTCATATGTGTGTAGAGTATTACTGCTTTAAAGTCTAATTTCTTCCAACTTCCCAAAAATGATAATTTGAATTTGGTCATGCACAAAGGAAAACCACATATTCCAAAATTCTCTTGGAAGAAAAATATTTGCAGTGAGAACTGGATCATTGAAAATCAAAATTGTTTTATGGAGTTTGTGATTGTTTTAAAAATTTTGTAACCATTTAATGCGTTTTTCAATGGTTTGTAATTGTTGTATAGCATTCGTAATTGTTTTTATCAGTTAAATAATGAATTAAAGCAAAAATCTTTATTGTTTTTAATAATTTGAGATTGTTTTATACAGTTTTTATGGTTTATAAATGTTTTATATAGTGTTTGAATACTTTGAATACAATTGTTTTATAAAGTTTTTAATTAGAGTTTTTAATTGATTTATAAAGATTGTACTGCTTTTTTAAGACTCTGATCGCTGTATAAAGTATAATGTTGTACATTGTATATAGGTTAATTTTAATGGTTTTGTATAGTTTGAAGCTGTTATGTATACATTAGTTTGTAATTAGTTGTCTCCTATCACCTCCCCGAGGTGGGCCAGAATTGGAACCGTTCTCAGAACGCTCGACCGTTTACATTACATAAAATTCATCTGTTCCGTTTATACAATATTTTCGTAATGTAAAAGGGCTTCATATTGTCATATAAAAATTGCCATCATTTTTTTTTTATAGTTTGTTTTTGTAGAACCGTTTCTTATGTACTTGACTTGTGACGTTTGGTCATGTTTTCTCATTGTCAGGCTATAATAGTGCCGTGTTTTCTGGAGATAAATTTTAAAATTTCATAAGGAATAAAACAATGATTTCTAAATTCTTTCTAAGTGATAGATATTTCCATCATGCTATTTGAATAAAACAGACAGCGGGAACCCCCGGGGTGTTGGATGCAGATGTTTCTCAATAGCTCTATTAATTAGATCTTCAATCTAGCTATATTAAATTCATATGATTTTTATTTTTGTAAACATCTGATCTATGTATGTAGGAGTATAAGGAATCACAGTAGCCCACGAGCTCCATCACAATCAGTCTGTGAAACATGACCTTAGCGGAAAATAGGCCTCTTGAATATTGCTCAATATAAAGAGTGCACATTTTTGAACTTTCATATTTTTTGAGATATTACAGACGCGTCTTTGTAAAAATGATTCTCAACATAGAGCTTTCACGGGTTGCAACCGCCCTTGCTGTTTCCGGATACATTTTGGGAAATTTTCAGGCAATATACTGATATTCACTGAATCTGACAAAAATCTCTGACTCTATAAATATTAGGTTCCTGTGCTTATACTCTCATCTAGGTAGCACTCAACAGTAAGATGGTCATATCATTACGTGTCTTTGAGTTTCTGTATTAAGTCTTTCGAACAATTCTGCTACAGAAGTGACCTACATTTATCTCGATGTGCGGATATACATTACATGTATGGAATAATATGACTACTGTTGTTTTGTATTAAGGATTTTTTGACTTACTTAGTAGAAAGATTTGTTGCTACATTCCTGTCATATTGTAGACCTACAAAGCATAGTTGCAAAGACGCAGACTGCTGTTTTGATTTGACTTTTTGAGGGGGACATAGGCAACTTTTCTGTTGAACGAGGCAGTTTAAGTGGGCCGGTAAAATATATAATTTTTAGCCTCAGTCTTATGAAACGTCTTCAATCATCCGAGTTCCAAAACTAATTAAAAGATCAGCTAAGAACTTCCATCCATGAATTAAGATGTCGGAATAAACTGTTATATTATATTTGATTTTCCCCCGGAGACGGAGGTATGATGATAGCAAGATACATCTTACTATTATTTTGGGATAGATGGAGAAGAATATTTGATCTTACATATTTTGTTAGCTAAAACAAAGTTCATTCCTCTGGAATACAAAAAATTGTGATCAATAGCCACCGACTAAGAGGTGTTCAATATGCTCAGACCTTGGTGGCCAAGATTTTGTAATAACGTGGGCCTGTCATCTAGAAGTGTTAAATTTGTAAATTAGAAATAACTTTTATATAGATCTGCAGGGAAAAAGGCTGACGGAAACTTATTTCACATGGAAAACACACGTCTATTGCTTTTATATAATAATTTTCTACAACGGGGAAATCAGGATTTCATTGACATAGGGAGGAGGGGCATCTGAGCACCCCGGCTCCATCGAGGGCAAAATTTTCTTATCTAGGCAGACAATACATCTAACGCGCTTTGAGCAGTGCAAGTAGGTTATATCTCTCATATTTTCTGGTCATGACATCATTGCCCCTCCTAAATACATCACTGAATTTGTATATTCAACAAGTTTGGCTTTATTTTTGACACATACAGACCCAATTTAACAAATTGTTTCAACAAATTACATCGTTATTAGCCTCTGCCCAATAAGGGAAGATTGGCTCAACTCTTGGGAAGAAAAACTGAAAAATGATCAAAGGGAGACAAATCCATTATGTACTCTTGGTTGTCACTATTATTAGCCTTGCATGCTAAGTCTGGATGTTCGGGGTTTTATTTACACGGAAGCTTTACTTTCGTTTTATCTTCTTCTTTCTCGATCAAAGTTCACCAATATGTTACCGTTTAAAAGACTGTTTTCAAGACAAATTTTGAGAAAAGAGCGTGACGAATTAGTGGTGCTGTGTCGGAATATATTCTGCAGCAGTCAAAATTCTCAGAAATCGGCGACAGGGACTGAGAAGAGCGAGTCGAAGAGGGTCGACATTATTTACAACTCTGATCATGTTCAATTACGAGAATCATTAAGAAAAGTAAGTACCGGTACAGAATTCTATGAGTCTACTTATCAAGTAGAGGATTGAGACAAAATATTGTTCCAATGTGTATAGTTGAAGAATTGGGGCCCACTTCTTTATATATAGGCTAAGTCATAAAATGTAGATTGATTATGAAAATGAAAAGGATAGCGGGACAGGCTTAGTGCCAGAAAAGAACAAATTAAATGATTAAAAGGTTGTGTATAGTTGAATTGAACATTATATAAGGACAATGTTTTAATGAATAATCTAGCAAGTGAGTGTAATCAATCAATGAAAACTTTCTGTTTTAGATCATAGATAATGAAATTAATCCATATGTTGATCAATGGGAAGCTGAGGGTCATTTTCCTGCTAAAACTGTGTTTAAAACACTTGGCTCAGCTGGCTTTCTTGGAGTTACCAAACCAACAGGTACAGGTTTCAATTTCAATTGACCTATTATGTGTATTTTGGCCTTTGACAATAAGACCTACATGTTTTGGAATTTGATTGAGTTTATATCTTATACTTACATGACATGACAGGGAACTTGGACAAACTGATTTTTTTTAAGGATCTATGGATCTGATGACCTAGAACCCTCTAACCTATGCTGATAAATTTTGAGAAATACAGATTGAAGACATGTTAATAATAAGTTCTCTCTAAAAACAAAATTATATCAAAACAACAGTTAATTAGTTAAGAAAAGTATTCATTATATAACAAAGATGTATTTTGTTTAATTTATTTTTCAGAATATGGTGGATTAGGCTTAGACTATACATACAGTGTTGCTATGGGAGAAGAATTGGGTTATATTAATTGTGGTGGTGTTCCCATGGCAATAGGTGTTCAAACGGACATGGCAACACCTGCTTTAGCCAGGTTAAAATTTGCTTTCTTTGATTTCATTTTTAATTCCAGTGTTTAATTTCCACAAATTATGCAATATATGGCCTATTTCAATTTTTCATACTCCATTTGTCTATTTCTATATTGTAAATAGATCTCTTGGAGATGAAGTACTTTGTTTTCTAGATTTGGTAGTGATAAGTTAAAGAAAGAATTCCTACAACCCTCTATATCTGGTGATATGGTATCTTGTATTGGTGTTAGTGAGACAGGAGCTGGATCAGATGTAGCTAGTAAGTTGATTGTTGTCAGGTTTTATAGTTATCTCCCTTGGTAGTGGTGTGAGAGAGACATGCGATGGATTTGGTGTAGCTAGTAAGTTGATTGTTGTCAGATTTTATAGTTATCTCCCTTGGTATTGGTGTGAGTGAGACATGCAATGGATTTGGTGTAGCTAGTAAGTTGATTGTTGTCAGATTTTATAGTTATCTCCCTTTGTATTGGTGTGAGTGAAACAAGTGATGGATTGATTTAGCTAGTCAGTTCATTTTAGTCCGATTTAATAGTTACCTATCTTGTATTTGTGTAAGTGAAACAGAATCAGAAGCATGTGTAGCTAGCACTTTAGTTGTTGTCGGATTTACAGTTACCTCCCTTGTATAAGCAGGGATCAAACATAGATTGGAAAACTTATCCCGAATATTACGTCTAATGTTCATGTGATTACAGAACTTCTTTTTGATATTATGACTTCTGTTATCTTTTTTTTTTCCAAATAAACTAGACCAGATTATAAAGTTTGCCATTATTACAAAAGTCCCCTTTGCACACTTAATCCTACCCTACAGGTATAAGAACTAAAGCAAGTCGTGTTGGAGATGATTTGGTAATTAATGGTGGTAAGATGTGGATCACTAATGGAAGTCAGGCCGACTGGATGTGTTTATTAGCTAATACTGGAGAAGGGAAAGCACATCAGAATAAATCTTTAATCTGTTTACCAATGAATTTACCAGGTAGGTCTACACAAGAAAAACTATTGACTATAAAAGTATGTTACATACATCATACATACAGATTGATTTATTCAATGTGAGTTCTTAAACAAAAATTAATCAATGCACAAGACTTCATCGTCAATATATATTGAAGGCAAATTCCACGGTTAAAAAGTAAAGAAAGGCACTTATAAGTTTACAAAGAAGAACCAGATAAATTTTGCTTTGTTTTAGCAATATTAAGTGAACTTTGATATTTTTATAATCTATTTTTTATATGCAATAAGACCCACAATCCACTACTAAAAAATCGTACGAGATATGATTTTCCAATTTGAATTCTCTTAGGTATCACAATAGCTAAGAAGATAGATAAGATGGGAATGAGGTGTTCAGATACAGCTCAGATCTATTTTGAAGATGTAAAGGTGCCCCGAGGTAATATTATCGGTGAAGAAGGACATGGTTTTATGTATCAGATGATGCAGTTCCAAGAGGAAAGACTTTATGCTGCAGCAGTTCGTAAGTGTCTGTGTAGTTTTCTAAATTCCTTAACGTCCGGTTTCTTCTTTGTACATATCACTTGAAATTTGAATGTACGTTTTTTGTTATTAGACTGTTATTTTTATTACCGTAGACTGTATTTACATTCTAAAATTTAGCTGTATCAACTGGCAAAGCAAGTGGTTTGTTTTGTAATTTCCATTATAGAAATGTATTTATCTCAAAACCACAATGCCAGAGCCAGATTTGAGATCAATTGCCCATCGTTCTACAATCTTCCAGCCTTGATATTAAGCTGTTGAGATCATTTTGTATTATATTCAGTATTATCACCATTAGAGAAGATCATAAAAGAAACTGCAAAATACACATCAGAGCGGCAAGTATTTGGTAAACCATTGCTCAGTAATCAGGTCGTACATTTTAAACTAGCAGAGCTACAGACAGAGGTAGAACTATTGAGGTCTCTGTTATACAGAGCTGTAGGTAAATATCATTTTCTGATTTCGGAAGACATGAAAGTAACACCTGGTTTAGGGTATTTTGGTGGCTTCAGCAATCGAGGTGGAAAGTAATTGAAATTTTATTGATACAAGGTTCTTGAATGATCATTTTGTAAGTAGTACTCATGATCATCAGGTGTTACTAATTTTATCTTAGCTGTTTCTTCCTCAGCTGACCAAATTAGGTAGTATAGAATGAATGAAACACTTAAATATGATCGCATGCCTTTAACATTCTTTGCAGCCCTGTATATTGAAGGCAATGATGTAACCAAACTAGCGTCTATGTGTAAATTAAAAGGAGGTCGACTAGCTAGAGAACTGATAGATAGTTGTCTTCAGTATTGGGGTGGTATGGGATTTACTAATGAAGTTCTTGTTAGCCGACTATATAGGTAAGTCAGATTTGAACTGTTATTTGATATGATCAAATGATTCACAGCTTTACCGAAATGTTACAAATAAACATATATTCTAGAGTTCTGGTTAAATCATGAACTCTGATCATATACTTGTGGGTGAATAAATCTTATTGTTTTTTTTTTATATTGAACGGTTTGTGTGGTTTATATTTCAGAGATTTCAGATTGATATCAATAGGAGGAGGTGCTGATGAAGTTATGTTGTCTATTATATGTAAATACATGAACACACTACCAAAACAATAACTGAACTACATTACTAAGCATTATCTCTCTCAGGAATTCAATATTTGTACGTCATGTAATTCGGATTTGATATTTTATATAAAGAACGTTTTAAAAGGAAATACTATGTCAGGTATTGCTTCAAATTTTGAAAGTAACAATGACTGATTATAGATAGCTTATGAGTTGGACCACGAACCCGATTTTAATACACGTGTATATTACATTTATATACGCCTTCATCTTTGTATCTAAACCCACATGTTTATTGTGCCAGTGGAAGGTGGGTCAGGGGGAAATTTTTAAATATAAGAGCGTTAATAATCCCTTTCACCCGTTTGAGCTGGTCATTGAACGTAACCCGTATAAAATACCGGGACCGGAATATTTTTATTGTTACCAGGTTGTAAATATTATCAAAGTATGAAATGTGTTATTGAAATAACTTATTGAAGTGTAAGTTATTTAACCGCTTTATATATAAATCGAAATATTTCAAAATATCTATTGTGTTTTCGTCGTAAATATATTTTATTTAAATCTAGCTTAATACTCCATAGTTTAAGCCCATGCTTTACTTATTTTTGTGCCCAACTATATACAGAAATTTACTATGGAGTCGGTTGGGTGGTATATGATATGTTAGCACACGTTTACAACTGAAGCGGATATATCAGACTATTCACTGGGCATCCTGGTCTATTCGCCCTATATTCATATTCAGTCTGGGATGCCAGATATACGATTTTAAACGTAAGTGAACAAATATATATAGTTTAGTTTATTCCACAATATTTTCATTGCTGTTGAACGTCTGAATGACAAAAAAACAAAACAAAACATTGTTGCAAAGAGGTTTTCCAAGGTAAAACCTGGCATGATTGGAGCATAGTAAATATGTATGCACTTAAGCTGACGAAATCGTTATTTAGACCAGAGAGTCTGACATCGAAAAATTGTATACTGACCGACTTTTCGATTTTTAGTGTTTGTGCCTCAGTGGGTCATGAACATATGAGAACTGTCGTAAATTAGGACCAGATGGTATTTAAAGGGATATAGTTCTTAAAATAAAGGTTAAAGGTTAAATTGACAGACACTTCCATTTTGATAACTGTAACACTTTCAAAATTGAACACCCGATTCCTCATTAGTTACAGTTCGTCTAAATGAAATGATGTAATTGCAGAAGCATGGACTAACTAAGAACGTAAGAATCGACACTCAACGATAGTTACCGTCTAAAATTCATAGACTGAGGCTGTTTTTCCCAAAAATTTGGATTCATAGAAGATGTCGCTAATATTGATAGCTATTTTACCACATAATTGATCAATTTGAAGTGCAACACGTCAAATCAAATTATTGATACAATTTAGACTTTATGAAGGGTGAAATGCATAGTCAAACAGGTATGGAAGTTTCAAATCAGAACAACCTGCCGTTTTATTATTATTTTATTTAGCTTGAAAACTGACCACAGACCTGTTCTCATGGAGAGCAGTCGTACATTTTAAAACTATAATATATCCCTTTAACACCCTGCTACAATATTATGTATCGAAACACATGTTGTTCACTTATTGACGGTTATGTTTTATAAAAACTGACTTTGGCTTAGGCATTCTATATTTTAATGGATTTATAAAGAATATTAATGTTGTGGATTTAGCTGGCATGCAGGTGAGAGGATGAACTGCTTATACATTTACAAATTTATGTAAGTGCTATTGCAGACATACAAAACGAATCCACACAGATGTTTAATGATGACATGATCAAATCCAGAAATCGCTCTACATAGAAACAGGAAATCGAGGAATCAAAGTAAGACCTAGAATTAGATTTACACGGAAAGCATCTTCATATGCCCAGCTTTATTTTGTCTTATACCTTGACTGCAATAACCACTGGACCACGGAGGTTTATAGATGCAGTGCGAGTCTGTAAACAGGAACAATTCCATTCCTTCTGTCACCGGCTCTGATCCAACCAGATCGCAACATTCCATGATACAAGAATAGTGGCTATTGTAGTTAAGGTATAAGATGAAGTTTCGTTCTAGGTTCGAGGAATCAAAATAAGAACTAGAAATCTCTCTGCACAGAAACAGTACATCGAGGAATCAAAAGAAAAATTAGAAATCGCTCTACATAGAAACAGCGATTCGCTCTCATCAAATTCATTAGCTCAAAGAAATAAAAAGCTGAATTTTTAATGACATGAAGATAAAGCACAGATTCGTGACTGGAAATATCTACACAATTTGCTAACAAAATGAAATAACTCTTCTATCGCTTCTTTATTATCAAGGTATGTCCATGTCTTTTTGTTCAAAGCAGTTTAATATATTAGTTTAATCCAGATAATTTCTCAAGCAGAAAGCAAGGTTCAATCCAAGGGTATTTGTTTTGACAATGTTAGTAATATTAAGAAACCAACAAAACATGTGTTGATTTGTATACATAGTTAACCTAAATAAAAGTTAGCCTACTTTCAAAGTTACAAAACATATTGAATTGTGTATTTCAATGCAGGCCAGATATTTTGATGGTTTTTGCACTTCTTTCTATTTTTTTTCCTGCTAGCAACAGACATGAATTTAAAATTTTGGAAATCTGGCAAAATGCAAAAGATCATCGTGTAGCTAATAAGTCTACAGAAAAGAAATTGGGTGCTTTCAAACAAAAACATAGACATACATAACCACATTGTCGATTTCAGTTTTGGGACGTAGAGAAATTACATTTAAACTGAGTGTTTTGATAAGTAAAAATAATATTCATAAACTTCACAGTTCGCCAAACCTCCGTCAAAACAAATCAACTTTCTGTTATTTAGTGCTCAAATGCCGACAATACTAAAGAACAGTGGCGGCGCAAGTAGGGGAACAGGGGTGCATTTGTACCACGAGAAAAATGGGTTGAATCCCTAAATGTACCCCAACCTTATTTTTGAATTTGATATTACCCCAAAATATGTCTCAGAATGCAACAAATCAAGTAAGTTTTTCGCAAATTTTCAGATGCTCCTTGAGACGCAGAGTTGCTGCATTTTGAATTTCAGCTTCGACAGTAATGTTGTCCAAACCCCCAGATCCATCAGAGCAAGTTTGGCTTTATGACTCCATAGTTGTGAAAAATATTACAATATAACTTGATGCGAATTCGTAACTAAATTGTCACGTAACGTTTGTTCCAGATGAGCCTGAAATCGAACCCTTACATCAAACTGAATGGTGGTGATTTCCTATACCATCTAGGTATTGATACTAGTCAAGTTAATTGTAAAGAAATATTCCATGATGTTAAGGTATGTGTGTGTGTGTGGCAACCATATTTGAAGTAATGTGATATTTTTGCACATTCCAACCAATTTGAATCATCGGGTCATCCGAAATTTCTGGTCATTATAAAAAATAAAACCTTCTTGGCGGATTGCTAGTACCCCTGTGCTCAGTGTTGTTCTTCGGTTATCATAGTTTGGAGACCAGGTCTCTACTCTGTTGATAAAATCGTTTCCAGGTTTACTAAAAATGTCAAAGCAGTGTTTGTTTTTCAGTTTGTGTGTTTGGGAGGGTCAACAAACAGAATGCTTAAGTTTGCTAAATTCATCAATGAGAACCTAAATGGCAATTCAGAGGAGCCATATAACTATGCCTATAAAACTGATAGATACTGTTTATATAAGACAGGTCCAATACTAATAGCAAATGTAAGTAAAGGATATAATCTCTCCCATTTAAGTTGCTTTAATCAAAAAAGAGTGATAACTATGTTCTAAGAATGGGTGTGCCCTGTCATCTTGCGATTCCATCAACTGTAATAATTTAAACGGACCCTTTTTGGACCCTTCCCCAAATATTATAGACGGATTCACACGAGGTTCTCTTTGTCTTTGTGTGTGTATCTGGAACATTTGAAGCCTAGCGTCTATTTACATTCTTTCCAATCCAGCGTTGTAGTTAGGTTCTTGTAATTCTAGAATAACTTGGCCAGATTATGACCTTTTAAATCTAACAATGGCAACACTGATACACCCTTTTGGATTCCATGAGATTTAACTGTAATGTGGACATTGTACATTGTAATTTGTACATTAGTTGCTTTTACTGCGACCTTTCATTTCATCTATATTTTCAGCATGGAATCGGGGTACCATCTTTGTCAGTGTTACTGAATGAAATATTTAAACTGTTATTCTATGCTCAGTGTAGCGATGTTATTTTTATCAGATTAGGAACTTGTGGTGGAATTGGTAAGTTTGAAAGGAACAAAATTTGGCTAAATGTCCTTAACTCCGGAGATCAAAGCTTGAGACCTAAAGATTCTAGGATGGTAGATTAAGTGCATACTGTCCGATGGTCTTCAACTTATGAAATTATGTACAATGGCCTAGTCTGAAACCTTTATTATAAAGATTTGTTGAAATGGGCATTAAATAGAATACTACATTACGATAAGGTGGCAGTATTACAGCAATGAACAAATATCAGAATTCGATGATGCCATGCTTAGGTTATATTTTCGTTTCAGGTGTTGAGGCCGGCACTGTAGTCATAACTGATAATGTTGTAAATGGTGAACTTGAACCTATATTTTCCTATGTAAGTGTTAGTGTCTTTTCCTTTCATGAGTCGCAGAGGCATCTGTCTCTTGATACAGCTAACAAATATATATATAGAGTGAATAGATTCCGTTTGGTACCTACTCAAATCCTTGACAATTGTATGTGTTCGATTGTAATTCCAGATAAAACTTGGTAAAAGAATAAACATTACTACCACTGTTGATGCTGACTTAGTGAGAGAGATTTACGACCATTCCAGTCAAAATAACAGTTTTACCATTGTCCGTGGTACAACATGCTCCGTCGATTGTTTCTATGAAGGTATGTGGATGGACAAGAGATATTTAATTCTTTTTTTTATAAAGGTTTGCAAGAAGTAGTCTATATCCTAAGTCAGGTTAGGTTTGATATATATACGCGGGCAGTGCAGTGCACTGGGTAGAAAGCAAACGCTCACTCAGAGAGCTGCTGGCACTGTCATTCTTTTCAACAATTTGAACACATTTTTGTAAATTGTTTAGTTCAGTGTTATGCATGTAAAGCTATGTTAGGTTAGAAATTACTTGACGATTGTTTTAATTCAATGTTCTTCAGCCCAGGGGAGACTTGATGGTGCTCTGTGTGACTATACTGAGGAAGATAGGAAACAGTTTTTCGAAAAACTTCAAAGAAATGGTGTCAAAAATTTAGAAATGGAGTCGCTGGGATTGTTTTCATACTGTCATAGGGCAGGCTACAAAGGTAAAGATAATATATATTTTTACGAAAAAAAAAACAAGTTCCGTTTATCATATGCAACGTCGATCATCGTTGATTATAGGGACAGATGCGCTAGGTGCATTCAAAGGTGGATAATTCTGGACACACATGGATTCGAAGGCTAAATTTTCGACGGTGAGCTGTGAACACTATTACTGATTGGCTTACCTAAAAATCTCGTTTCTGAGACTAAATTATGGTTGGTCAAAAAGAATGGCACATCAGAATCTGTCCTTTTAAGGAACATGCTAAAACCGATTGTAGTGTCCAGATTATTGCCATGTATCCCTAAAACATGATGAAAATCTACACACATTGTCGATTTATATGACCTATACGCTCAAAGAGATAACTAAATTTGGTAATATTTCTGACAAAAATAGTGATAGTGAATCCAAATGTGTTTATTGCGAGATACTTGATGCCCTAGAACGGTGATTTTCAACCTGTTTTGTATGAGTCACTATTTTGCGTAAAAATGATGTCCTCAGATATCAAAAGTGAAACTGGGATTGGATATAAGGCACGTTCCTGTGTTTGGAAACCTAGACCAGTTGGTGACTAACCACAGGTATATTCTCCTGAAATTTGTTTGTCTGTTTCAGCCGCCATGATAGCAGTAGCCTTATTGAACCGCTTAGAAGCAGACGAACCAACATCTAACATTGACATGCTAAAGGAGTGGGAGAGTCGGCCATTTTATACAGTGCTAAATTTTATACGGAGTAAACTGGACATAGTATAATACAGGATTCAACTAACGACAGTATACATATCATTGTAAAGATAATCTTGAATTTTCAAGGGCGCGCAAAGATTAAATAAAATTCATCGCAACACACTATTTCCTTTATAGGTCGTCATATTACAACATATTCTTCATTGGTTTTTTCACGTCGCTTGCAATGTCTGAAACATTGGATTTGCATTTTCACTCTTGGAAGGCTGTCTCGATCGCGTGCGGGACATTTAGACCAGTTCCTGGCCTGGACAAAATTTTTTGGCCGAAATTAATTTTTCTGTGTGTACCATAGCCTATTATATGGAAAAAGACTCGCCTGAAACATCCCTGTCTAACGTCTACGGCCATACCACGTTGAAAACACCAGTTCTAGTCCGATCACTGAAGTTAAGCAACGTCGGGCTCGGTTAGTACTTGGATTGGTGACCGCCTGGGAACACCGAGCGCTGTAGACACCTATTTTCACGCTTGGATTTGCATTTTCACTCTTGGAAGGCTGAGTCTCGATCGCGTGCGGGCCATTTAGACCAGTTCCTGGCCTGGACAAAATTTTTTGGCCGAAATTAATTTTTCTGTGTGTACCATAGCCTATTATATGGACAAAGACTCGCCTGAAACATCCCTGTCTAACGTCTACGGCCATACCACGTTGAAAACACCAGTTCTCGTCCGATCACTGAAGTTAAGCAACGTCGGGCTCGGTTAGTACTTGGATGGGTGACCGCCTGGGAACACCGAGTGCTGTAGACGCCCTTTTGCACCTATTTTCACGCTTGGATTTGCATTTTCACTCTTGGAAGGCTGAGTCTCGATCGCGTGCGGGCCATTTAGACCAGTTCCTGGCCTGGACAAAATTTTTTGGCCGAAATTAATTTTTCTGTGTGTACCATAGCCTATTATATGGACAAAGACTCGCCTGAAACATCCCTGTCTAACGTCTACGGCCATACCACGTTGAAAACACCAGTTCTCGTCCGATCACTGAAGTTAAGCAACGTCGGGCTCGGTTAGTACTTGGATGGGTGACCGCCTGGGAACACCGAGTGCTGTAGACGCCCTTTTGCACCTATTTTCACGCTTGGATTTGCATTTTCACTCTTGGAAGGCTGAGTCTCGATCGCGTGCGGGCCATTTAGACCAGTTCCTGGCCTGGACAAAATTTTTTGGCCGAAATTAATTTTTCTGTGTGTACCATAGCCTATTATATGGACAAAGACTCGCCTGANACATCCCTGTCTAACGTCTACGGCCATACCACGTTGAAAACACCAGTTCTCGTCCGATCACTGAAGTTAAGCAACGTCGGGCTCGGTTAGTACTTGGATGGGTGACCGCCTGGGAACACCGAGTGCTGTAGACGCCCTTTTGCACCTATTTTCACGCTTGGATTTGCATTTTCACTCTTGGAAGGCTGAGTCTCGATCGCGTGCGGGCCATTTAGACCAGTTCCTGGCCTGGACAAAATTTTTTGGC